ATTCGAGCTCTGTAATTAACTAATGCGCCTCGATAAAAATACACGTCTTGGGCCAACTTGCACCGTATTCAGATCCGCTCACACTGTTGGATTCATCTAATCGAATCCTACAGAATGGTATAACTATTATAACTAATTGACAAGTACTTATAATAACTCTAGGTCTGTTCTAATAACTAACTAATTATTCTTAATTTATTAATTAATATTTAAAGGACGGGTTTCAGGACATTACAACAATAGTCTGAGGATGACATCTTCGTGACATGGATGTTGACCAAATATAATCTTTCGCTCAAATGAGTGATTAAGTAATTGTATTACTATTCATCTCGTGCAATTACATTCCTATTGAATGATCAATATTTACAGATACTTTGTACCATAATTCTTATATCCAAGACCTGGGGTATAAACAAGTTATTCTTTGAGGCGGAACGAAGGGACGACGTTGTGCCCGAGCTAAGAAAAGGAGTTTGATTCAACCAAGCTTTTCGGTTTTCAGAGAAGCTTGATAATCAATTGTCGCTTTGGATAATCGATTATCACTCAAGGAGAGAGGTTTCTCGTTTGAAAGGAGAGCTAGATAATCGATTGTCAGTTTTGAATAATCGATTATCGGGTGGCTCAACTTCTTGGAATAGAACTTTTGGATTTTCAGAGGGGCTAAATAATCGATTATCAGGGTTGATAGTCGACTATCAGAGGCTGCAGGAAAGCTGATAATCAATTGTCAGCTTGCAATAATCGGTTATTGGCGGTAGTTTTCCCAAATGAAGAATGGTGTTTTAGGCGGGAAGGAAAGGTGATGTTTATGGGAAGAAGGAGTTCTTTTGGTATTTTTAATATGAGAAAAGAAAGGGGGTTGAGGAGAGTAATGGTAGGAGGGGAAATCGATAGAAAGGTGATGGATAAAACCAAGTTGGTATTAAGAAATATTACACACCCTTATCTTAATTTGGGGTTTGAATTTAGAATTAAATTAAGATATGACGCACTCAATCAAATATCTAGAACCTAAAACTCACACTTAAGATAACCACTCTTAAGATATATAATTAGGAATTTGGCTAAAATAGCATCACACTATTTTAAGAATACTCAAAGGGTAAAAGGTTTTAATATCATTCAATTGTGTCCCTGCACAATGCCCTAGGTCTACATTATATAGGGAGAGGGTAAGGGGAAAATAATGCACAATACAATGAATGTGAACATGAGGAATCTTCCTAGCAACATCCTCTCTCAAAGCCTTGAATGTGTTTGGGTCCTTTTAATGGAATAAAATCGGGGATGGGTGTGGCTGTAGGGCCTCTAATGAAAGGCAAACCAAGGGGAATGAATGACATTCTTTTGGGCTGATTTTACGGGATGTATTCAGCCAACAAGGGGGACAAAGAGTACTTTGGCTGCATATACGAGGATTTATTTTGTGGTTAATGGGCTAAGAAAGTACCATGTGTCTCCTGGACTTTTATGGTTGTTTAGTGGGTTGTACTAGGGAACATAGTAGGGACCATGTTAGGTGAATGTTGGAAGATGAATGGGACTGTTTTGGTTTCTTATTTTGACCAGGGGGTTAAAATAGATGGAAGAGACTTTAGTTTGGATATCAAAAAGAAATAAAATTGTAACACCCCAATCCATATAACCCGGAATTACACGAATTAAGGTGAAACGAGAGTTAAATAAAAATTTTGCTTGACATTTGAAAATGACAATTACTTATAAATATTAAATTTACAGACTCTGGATCGCGACCCATTTAAAAATATTTCCAGAGTAATGTGGAAGTACAATAATAATTAAATCATGACACATTTAAAATCTGATGATCAAACATTTGCCTGCCATCCTTGCATCTCCTCTGACTCAATGCCCTCCGGGAATGGTTCCATCATTGTCTTCTTGTTACCTACGTGTAGTCAACGAAAAATACAAACTACACGCTCAGCGAAACCGCTGAGTGGTACCACGCTAGAATTGTAGAATGATTCACAGATATATATATATATATATATATATATATATATATATATATATATATATATATATATATATATATATATATATATATATATAGGGGCCGGTTCCCGTGAGAATGCATCTTGTGGAGAGAAATGAGAATAAAATCTAGCCGTCGGATCTGATGCATCCTGCGGCTCAGATTGCATCATGCGCTCAGATTTTGAGATAGTGCATTTTCGAAGGTTTATGGTGCATTTTGACGTGATGCATTTTCGCACCATTTTGGTGCATCTAATTTTGATGAAATCTTGACCCTTAGATCTCACAATCTAAAGCATCAGATTCATTCTCATTTCTCTCCTAAGATTGCATTCTCACCAGAACCTATATATATATATATATATATATATATATATATATATATATATATATATATATATATATATATATATATATATATATATATATATATATATATATATGTCCATAAAATGTATAATAATATTCGTGTTATGGCACATTATATCATATGGACAATTTGATGAATCATGATGTTAAATATTTAATGATAATTTCATGATGGCACATTTAATTTAATTTGCTTCTGAGGATGATTACATGATACCTATGTAATCAAAATGCTTTTTCTTGATGATGATTACATGACACCTATGTAATCAATGTAATTGTACTTGATGATGATAACATGATGTATGATCCTATAACTTGCAAGGATGACCCTTGCGCTATGAGATTCGCCCATTTGGTAAGACGAACTCACGCGGCCTTAGTCTCACAAGGGAGACCAGAAAAATAGGGGTGGTACACAAAAGCTTGAATATCATGTACGTACACGAACTTGTGATGTCGGACTACTAAGTCCCGCACAATCACGCTATAAGAAACGCACTAGGCATGATCTCTTACGCATGCACATGATGTGATATGCTTAAATATGAGTGATGAAATGAATGATATGATGTGAACACTTTGCAACATATATGAAAATATAATCATGCATTAGTTTATTTGGATGAAAAATGATTAAAATATCATTTGGTCAAGCTACTGGGTTCGGAACGATCGACCGTTTAGCACGGCGGTCGACCGTGCTTAAAATCATTCCGTCAATCTCAGATCACCGTGACGGTCGACCGCGGTTGACCGGCGGTTGACCGTTGTTGACTGAATGGTACGGCAGTCCTCGGCTGGGTGGGCGGCGGTCGACCGTGAGCCACCGGCGGTCGACCGTTTGGCTGACAGTCGTGGTTCGTTTTTGAAGTTAAATACAACGATTGACCGTTTGCGTCGACCGTTTGGGTCTGCGAATCTTACTCTTGATATTTTGTGTGTCTAAAATACTTCTTTAAGTCTTTTAAACACCTTTAATTAACATATACATGTTGTTGGGTTGATTTCATATTTTATATATACTTATATATATATATATATATATATATATATATATATATATATATATATATTCAAAGGATTTTTATTAAAGTGAACAAAGTTACAATACGTTTGGGGAGGGCAAGACCTAGCCCCAAAGGTGTAAAGGAAGAAAGGAGGATAATGTGTTTAACGATTACAAACTGGTAAAATTAAACAAAGGATGCCAGCAGACGTCTTCCATTAAGCCAAAAGAAATCTCCTCTCCAGAGTGCATTGTTTTGATTTGGTCCCTTGATTAGCCATTTTTTCCTCCTATTTATCCAGCACCACCTTTGGATAAGAGAGGTTACAGTTTTGATCAAGCCATGAATGTTGTTTTGCCTATCTTCATGGAGGGCCGAGGTGTGATTCTTCCAAAGGGTCCATGCAATAAAACCGGGTACCACTGCACGTAGGTTACCTTCTAATCCTTTTCCCCTTGCTTTTGTCCACCATTGGAGTAGGTGATTTTGGATTGTACTGTTGGATGAGGGTAGTGGTCCATCTAATAGTAGTGCGTAGTATTTCCATAAATCCATGGCAGTGGGACAATGCAGAAGCGTGTGGTTACATCCATCTTCATTTCTCATGCATGCTAAACATATCCCTCGTACAGGGATAGAGAGAGTTCGTACATTAGGTGTGAAGGGGAGGGCATTGTGATGGACTTTCCAGAGGAAGAGCTTGATGTTTGGTGTCTGATATTTGTGCCAAATAAATTTGTTCTGTATCTGGGGTGGGACAGGTTGCAGGGTAGAGAGATAGGCTGCTTTCAGGGNGCAGAAGCGTGTGGTTACATCCATCTTCATTTCTCATGCATGCTAAACATATCCCTCGTACAGGGATAGAGAGAGTTCGTACATTAGGTGTGAAGGGGAGGGCATTGTGATGGACTTTCCAGAGGAAGAGCTTGATGTTTGGTGTCTGATATTTGTGCCAAATAAATTTGTTCTGTATCTGGGGTGGGACAGGTTGCAGGGTAGAGAGATAGGCTGGTTTCAGGGTGAAATCTTTGTCCATCCATTTCAGTGTGCCATCCGTCATGGTTATGTGTTCAGTTGCCGTTGCATTTACTCTAAAGATCCTCTTCCAAACCGCAGAGTCTGGAAGCCTTTCCTTAAAGATGTTGCTTTTGAGGTATTTCCTGCGCATGAATGTTGCCCAAAGTCCTTGGTCAGATCTGATCTTTGCCCATAGTTTGTATGAGTACACTTGCTGTATGTGGTGAAGAGCACGAATTCCTAAGCCCCCAAAATCTGTGGGGACACAAATCTCTTTCTAGCTGACCCAGTGGTGCTTCCTTTTTCCATCTTTAACACCCCAGAGAAAACGAGCCATCCTTTGGTGTAGAGAATTGATTATGGATTGGGGGAGTGTTGAAAGGAAACCATGCAAGGATAGGCAACGGAATATAAAAATTTTAACATCCTAACATGATTATCTTGCCCAGAATCACGTACTAAAACTTATAGTGAATAAGAAATTTATACCTTTCTCCGTAAGCGGTAAAAACGAAGAAATCGTAGAAAGAGCGTTGAAAGTGCAAACGTAACCGTTCAAGCGTCCGGTCTCCAACTTTGACACACGAACAACGCCGGAGTCTACCACAACCTTTATGCTAGTAAAGATTATAGTAGTATAAAATATAAAGATTAAAATTTGGGATAATAATAATCTTGTATATTTCTATAGAAAATATTTCTAATAATATTTAGAAAATATTATAGATATTTTCTATACACAAAATGATATTAATGAAACCAAACTAATATTTCTCTCTCTAGAAAAATTATGGCCGAAAACCACACTCATATGCAAAGATGATAATCTTCTCATATATCAATTTTTTTAAAGTGCCGTGCAATCAATACAAAGAAGAAAAAAAATTCCAAAGTGATTATGAATTTGACTTTGTCATTAACAAAATGACAAAATAGTTAGC